ATTTATTATATTACTTAATATTAACAAAACTGACCACAACTAGACATTATAACCTACCACTGGTCAGCTTTAACTTTTGTGGTTGAATTGGTCAGTACAACCTTAATTGAACGGCATTGACCGGCAACCGGCAGACGGCATCGACCGGCACTTTGGATTTGCCGTCGAACGGCACCGGCAGACGGCAACCGGCCGTTTAGTCAGTGCCAAGTATCTATTTTAATGGCAAAGAATTTTTTGAATCTATTGATGCCAATGAAGAGGTTGAGGAGTGATCAGTCAAAGCATATGAAGGACCGGCACATTTTCTGTGATTTATTGATTTAGATGTAAAATTTATATAAAATGTTTGGTGCAAATCAATTTTGAACATTAAGCAAATATACAGTATATTTATTAATATTTATGATATACTTGATTAAATATCAAAAATTAAATGCATATTTTCGGAGTTAACAACAAAATTTTTAATTCATATAATATTTAATTTTGTAATGCTTAAAGATTTATTTATTTTCCGGTATTATATTTGCATATTACTCTGCACATTACCTTGCACATTATTCTGTACAATTAAACTTTAATATTACTAATATAATCAATGTAATAAATCTATTCCAATGAATTGTTTCTATTTTTGAGTAAATATATAAAAACCTGATAACTAATACAATATATTGAATGAATATAAACAAATACAGAAACTTTTGCAGTTATGATGTTTTGTATTTTTACCCAAAAAATTGAAACAGTTCATTGAAATCAATTTATTACAAATGTTAGTAGAAAAAAGCTATTATCTACTGTATATCTATTTTAATTAACTACGGTTTAAGTTAAGCTTGTTAGTTTGTAACACATTTTTACAATTGGCCTCCTTTAAAAACCATTGTCGCAAATTATTGATTATAGCTGATTTATAATTTAATCCCTTTACATTGAGATGTTGACAGAGTGGGCACAGGTATCTGTGATGAATGGTTGCAGTTATTTCACTACAATAGGTATTTTTCCACTTGAAATACGATTCATATAATTGTCGATCACTTCCCACTTGTTTGAGATAATCTGCCAAATGTTTAGGTGACTCGAAGTCCAGTGCAGAGATATACGAGTGTTTGGGCATTAGTTGGGTATAGTTAGCCGATCCTAACACTACCTGTAATGCAATGAAAATGTAAAAAAATAATTTACTGCAAGTTATTACAATTAATTTGCTACACGAAAAATTAATACATACGGGGATTATATCGTATTGTATGTAATAAAACAACTTTTCTGTTACATAATCTTTGCATAACTGCAAAAATAAATCAATATTTTACTTATTTATAAAAATTAAGTTTTGTATTAAAAGCATAAAAGAAAGTATAAATGAATTACTGACAGAATTTTCAAACGAAAGGTAAAACTTATAATTCTTCTCAATGTCTTTAACACATGAGCCATCGCGCGGACACTTTCGGCCACACCCTCCAAACACATGGACATCCATATACTCTTTCAATTCATTGACATACACTTCCCGTTGAGACCCAGACTTACAGTCGGACACAATCCATGCGATACTATGAGTCTTATTACTCCACTCGTAGTTTGGTGTCCAGTGTCGGGTGCACTCAGTTATCCAGCCGTACGGCGTGTATATATCAGAGTCTGTCCTATAATGCATAATCCAATCCATATATTCTGGGAATTGTTTGTAATGTTTATTGTTGGCATAGCTTGGTGACTCCATATCTAATAGCACCCACTTTTGATTATCATGTTTATGGTGAGGCATATCACTCATATTGACTTCATTCCAGTGGAACATCACTATATCACTGGTGTTTAGGCTATTCCGGTCTCCCGTATAAATACAGTTAGTGTATGAACAATTAGGTGGGTTTGACATTAACTTTTCGTACCAATTCTTTCCCCATCTTTTAGTCCATAACAAAATGGAAAACACATTTGAATTGTTAGTTTGTTTTTGAAAATATCTTTTATCTTTTGTTTGATATTCATTGAATGTTAGTATTAAAATTATAACTACTATAATTATTAAGACATAACATCTATAATGAGCACATTTAAATAGATTCTTGCTTAATAGAAATCTATGCCTAGATAAAGAAAATAAATTCATTATGAAATGTATAAGTTATTATTAACTAAAATTAGTCTTAACAAAAAGTATAATCATAAAAATAATAATCATCATCATCATGGCAAAATAGTATTATACTTGTATGTAGAACCTTACATAATATTCTGTAATACACTTCTGTATTAGACATTAATCAATAACAAATGTAATAAACTTGTTAAGTCTTTTAAAACATATTTTCAAACAAATTAAACTAAATATGGTTTAAAAAGTGATTTGAACCATAGAGCAATCATACCAAATGTGGTATCAACATCTTTTTTTATCAATACATCAAATACTCATTTATTTCGTCCATAGACTTCCAAGCATTATACAGTATTTAATCAACAGGGTCAGGCATGTAATAAGAAACTTATAAGTTTAGAAATGAAAGAAATAAGATTTTAATTTAAGTTATAGTTTTTTTTAATAATTAGTAATGCAAATTATATTATATGCCAATTAAAGGCAAGTATCACTTCTGAGGGCATTAACCAACGAGTTGTCTCCTTTCAGAAGGCGTTCATAGAGTTTACGCCAATATTCTGATGCAATGGTTCCCAAGGATTTGATGCAATACTTATGGCAATCAGTGATCACATGAAACACAGCGCTCGGCATCTGCTCCACACAATCCATATAATGAATGAGCTGTTGATCGCAAATATTAGTATCGCAACTGATCTGATGCTTCAAATCTTGTAACTCTTTTTGCAAATTAATTATATATTCGTAATAGAAATCAATGGCCGACTGAAGGGAACACTTCTTCTCGAAGGCATAACAAAGCACTTCATTAGTCATGTCATTAGCCATGAGTTTCGGCAAAATCATAGAGTGCAGGCGCCTGCAGGGCAGGGCAGGGCAGGGCAGGGTGCTAAATTTTATAGTTTGTAACACTAATTCCAATGACGAGTCAAAAGTGAAAATAAAAGCAATGATTTGAATATAATTTAGAAGTCTTTGCTGTGATTTGCAATCATTGTTCGCATAGCAAACATATGTGACGGACAGTCGGGTATAAACTTCTTCTGAATCTGCGAATTGTTTGGACCACACATTGAACTCATTGTAAAGTGTTTCAAACTGTGGATGTAGTGGTAAGACAGGCACAGGTAGGGCTCGGGTCCTGATCCAAATTGTTGTCATTTTGTCATATAATTATCCTTGATTTAAGTCAATCTTTTAATATTGATTTAATTTTTTAGTTTAAAAGACTATAATATTTTGAACACATGGACATTTAATTAAAAATTCATCATACATATTATTTTCATATAATTATTCATTTGTTTACTAATTGAAATGTATTGTCAAATTTAATTAAATACTATCTCTTAATATTAAGAGGGAATATTTTTAGAAAGTTCATGTAAACCTACTTGTTAATGCTTCATGAATGCTATATTTAAACATGATGTTTATATAAGACACTTATGATACCGTATTTTAAATAAAATTCAATAAAACAAATACAGTTATATAAAAATTTTCTAATATAAAAATCATTAAATATTGAATTAATAGTCACAGCAATTGTTATTGTCTTTGAAAATACTTCATTATAAATATGAGATTCATTAGATTCATGAGATTCAATACTTCATTAGTGTAAAAATGTTTATAAATTCAAGAATCCATAAAATAAAAGACAAAATAAAAGGATTTTACGAAAGAAACTGTGAATTGAGTGCTCCGATCAACACGTTTGACAGGTTTGCCATCAAATATCTGGTGTTTTCACGGGAACTGGAGGACTATGTGCGTCAACACCCCATAAGTGACCGGAAATACTACTTAATAACATTGACCCGAATGGCGTGTTTCATGGAAACCATACGTTTCCTCATATCGGAGCTGTTTGACGACTGGCCATCGGTTCAGTATATGGTTTGTAACTTCAGTTACTTAATGGGCGACCACTTCTTCTCGTCCTATTGGCTCTTCAATATGGCTCTCGTCATCACATCCGTGGCACTCGTCATCCAATACCAGGACATGACTAACACTTTTCAGACCATCAATATCTGGCACTCCATTCAATGCAAGCGAATCCCATTCCCATTGAATCGGAGGAATGAACGCAAGTTAGGCTTCAGAATGAATATATTGACACAATTTCTCTTGAAATCCATTTTCGAGATCTCAGTCGCCATCCAATTCTTGGCTGTACTCCTGATGTCAATCATCGCTTATTTGGACACAAGTACTAACCATTCATTGATTATGACAATCGTGTGGAACGGTATTGTATTCGTGTTCTCCGTAAGATCTCAGTCGCCATCCAATTCTTGGCTGTACTCCTGATGTCAATCATCGCTTATTTGGACACAAGTACTAACCATTCATTGATTATGACAATCGTGTGGAACGGTATTGTATTCGTGTTCTCCATACAAACCTATGCTATCCTATGGATTGGTGTTATCTTTTGGTACTCATCCACACTATATCTTAAGTATAAGTTCACCGAAATTAATGATAAAATAGCGACAAGTCTTGAAAGGGATATCGATATGAGACTACTATTGAATGCTATCGTTGAACACAATTTCATTGCAAAAATAACTCATGAATTCAATAAATTTTTCTCAATTATGGTGATCATAATCTATTACATTGCCACCCCTGGTTTTCAGGTCTCGCTGTTTGGCACTCATAAAAAGGACACTTCACCATTTGGTCGAGTCATATATGGCTTAATAACTGTGTTTTGTTTTTTGACGGTTATGTATATGAATATAATGAGCACTTGGATTAGCAAAGAGGCCCATAAGTCATATCAACTTCTTTACTCATTTCTACACCAAAGACCCATTCATTTGATGCTTAGACTTAAGATCGAGGCCTTCATTGGGAAGCTGTCGGGACCTGAGATCAGCTTTTATTGCTATGACTTGTTTCCGATGAATAAATATGAATTTTATCAGTTTGTCATAATTGCCGGCTCTAACTATTTCCTAATTATGAGTTTGTTTTAATTTGATACATGAGTTAACATGAATTTATTATTAGTAACAAACATAAGCAATAGAGTGCTATAGAGTGTTGTTTAGACTATTTTTCATAATGAAAATTCTGTACTTAAATCAAACAAAATATCTTATATTTATTTTTGTATACTAATAAATATAATATTTATTAAATTGTCTCATTGGTAAATATATATTTTACAGTACAATTATGCTAGGTAGTGTACTAGTTTCAGAATTTCTTAATAGTTTACTGTAATAAAAATTGTTTTGTTTAATTATTTAAATATTTATTAATTTTAAATATTCATATTTAAATTGAATATGATAATATTGTATAATATTCTATGATTTATTTAAAATGTTTAAATAAAAGTTGTAGTTATAATATTTCTCATTATACTTTATAATATAAAGTTTATATTTTGTTTTTATATTTCATTATCATTATGTTTTCAAGGTGTAGAGAAAAATATAATTTAAAATTATATAAAAATAAATAATTAGAAGTATTTTGATTTTAGATAAATGACTACTAGACGTTTTAAGTTATTATATTAAATATGTTATAAGGGTATTAACACAATCATTATTTTTTATTAAATGTATTTTCTAACATATTTTAAATTTAAAACTTGTAATGAATTATTAATATTTTTTACTTTAAACATATAAAAGCCTTTCAATTCATAATACTTTCTACATAGCAACAAAGTAATTAATAATTATTATTCAATATCTTTGTAATATTGCACTACAATATGAAAATTAAATTGCTTTTAGTATTTCTGATTGGGTTGACTGTATGTAATGGTGACCAGGAGTGGTGGACCCGTTTATACAATCTCTTATGTGTTGATGAAAGTGGGAATAAGATTCAAGTTTCTGAATCACAATTGAATGCAATTAACAATCAATGTCTGAACAACATGAATAGAGTATGAAAACATTAAAATGATTTTTATGTACACTGAATGGGACAAAGACAATGATCATAGCATTTTATTTATTTAAAAGGATTACCATGATCATGGACCAGGACCAATTGAGATCTGTAATGGTCAAAAGTTAGACAATCTAAGCGACAAATTGAATGCCTTTTGTGATGCCAACACATTTGAATGCGTTAAACAAAAGCCATTATTATTGTCTGGAAGTGATTCATTAAAACAACAATTTATTGTAAGAATTTGTGTATTTTATTGACATTTAAATCATTTTTCTTTATCAATAATTTTAGGATTGCATTAAAAGTCAACTAAAAAACTAATGTAGACTAAAAAGAGGACTCATTATTTAATAATATTTAAATATATAATTTTTAAATATAATTAAATGTTTAAGTAAATTATATTTTGTATTTTGCATTAAATTATTATTAATATATGTATGTTGTCATTATATTTGTTATAAAATATATAATTGTAGAAATAATATAAATAGAAATCAATCTTATGATCAATATTTGATTTATAGGTTTTTTAAAAGCATATCATTTTATGTCAAACAATTGAACAAACATGTCACTATTATATTATAGTGTAAATCACAAAATCAATTAATAATTATTTATTATATTTGAACAGAATACATCTATTCAATTTATGTTTAATTATCATGTGTTCAAATACACATCAAACATTAATATTTGATTTTTTATTATTACGCCTAACATATAATTTACTATAAATGCTAGTAACTTAATTTACATAATAGATTAATACTAAAATTAACTTTAATTTCAAAATTGTCTATCATTAATTTATTTATAATAATATCAGCAATGAAATTATTATTAATTCTAGTATTGAGTAGTGTATTAAGTGTTTGCTATATGCAAGGTATCCGGTCTAATGTTACCAAACGATTTGATGACATGTCGAGTGTCTTATGTGCGGATAAATTGCAGATAAGTGATGACCAGTTGGCAGAACTCAGGACCCAATGTGAGTCCAATAACGCCACTTCTGTAAGTCATACCTGATATAACAATGCATACACAATGTATACATACAAATACATACAAATGCTACATAATATGTATAATATTTAAAATTGAAACAAACATTACATGAAATGACTTTCCTATGAAGAGAGACGAAGTGCTCAAAACATGTCTCAACACAAAGGAGTTGACGGACCGCCAGAAAATGACATCAATTTGCGGGACACAGAAGACCTGTATTGTCGACCATTGGGTTAAAGTCTACGAAAACGCGAAACCAGAAGATTTGAAGAGATTTTTCGATATGTGTCAAAAGTATATCGTGAGTTCATTAATCATATAATAATTAATTAGTTTTACAAAACTTTTATTGCTAATTTAAATACTTTATTTAATTTATTTGTAGTGTTGCATTAAAAAAGTGCTCAAGGTAAATTAAAGTATGCTTCCCACCGACTGTCCCAACTCGATGGCATTTTAAATGAATTGTTAATTATTTTTTATTTATTTTAACATTTTATCTTTTATTGAATGC